TCCTGAGAAATGACACTAAGAAGTCATTTGATTCTAAACATGAACCTAGTAAGGTTCAGTAATAAAGATTCGAAGTTCTTCTAGGATGTAAGAGGTACACAATATGAAAGTTCGTCTCCTCAAGAACAGGCAACAAGCAGCATTCTCTCAGCAGCTCCACCATAGACTCAGGCAAAGTGCAAGCATCAGATTCTAAACGTGGATGCGCCAGCAGAATTAAGGGTAGGCTGGCCTATTGAAAATAGGCTGAGGGAGACTCTGTGCAAGTCTTTCTAGTCAACTGTGGATGTTTCTCCTGTCAGCCTAAGAGAAAAGACAATTTACCAAATAATTAGTCCTAGCCAAAAACAAAGAGCTTCCGATTAGCAATTATCAGTCAAGTATCAGCAAAGATTTAAGGAAATTTGAGAAGACATCACAAGTACAAAATAAACGAGACAAAAATTAACGAAGGAAATAGAAGGTAAGATACAGATTAAAACATTAATATCCTTGGAGGTAAAATGTGACACCTACAGAAGTCGAGCACAAGGCCAACGCAAGAGCCACGCCAGTACTGGCAGACTCAGCCAGAAAAGGAATGAGAGCTCTTTTTCGATTCAGACAGCTTATTACTTACAGAGAGTGAGACAACAGGAGTCACACATCAAGTCTTTGTGGCCTGTGTGTGTTGGATGACACCAACACAAAAGGGACCAAATGACAGTATAACAGGAGCCATGGGACATCCTGTTGCTATGAAGCTAATGCTATGCTGCAGCTAAGCAATTTGGTAGCCTGAAGCTGTGCTCTTAGGAGGTAAAGGTAGAAAATCTCAGGTCTCAAAGCAACCAAGGAGGGAGGTGAGAAAATTGCCTTACGACATCCTCCTGCAAGATAGGAAGCCTGCCAGAAGGCAGATGAGAAAATGATCCTGTGAGTGCTCCTGGAGACTGCCTACCCTGCCTACCCTTGCAGGACCTTAGGGTATTCCTACAGAATTTAGGTCAGTCTGGGCTTCAAGTTCAGTCTGCCTGGACTAACAAGATACGTGCACGGTGACCATACTGGAGCCATCACGCTATAGACACAAGAATACTTTTTTTTTTTTTTTTGGTGATACTACGGATCAAACCCAGGGCCTTGCACATGCTAGGCAGGCACTCAACCACTAAACCACATCTGCAGCTTTTATAATGCTACTGTAGAAAGAGACTATTCAGAAAATAAAAACAGTAAAATAAATTTCTGTATATTAAAAATGATATTTTAAAGAACACCATAGAAAGATCTAGAATAAGCAATAGAAGAAACATACGAAAAACTACAAAAGATACAAAGTAGAAGTAAAAAATTTTAAAACTTAGGCCTAAGATAGAGCTGAATAGAATGATTATCTGAAATACAGATTAGAAAAAAAACTAGAGGGAGAAAACTTAACCCAAGAAGTAATACTTAACTTCCAGAACTGAATGACATGATTTGCCACTAAGCGTCCACTGATGATAAACTTAACGGATGGAAGATTTATACCTAGTAATCAAGAAATTTCAGGGTAATTGGAATAAAATCAGATCCTGACAGCTTCCAAAGAGAAATAAACAAGATGTGTTCAGTGTTAAGAATCTGGGCCCTGCTGGGCATGGTGGTGCATGCCTGTAATCCCAGCACTGAGAAGGCTGAGGCAGTAAGATCGTTGCGAGTTCAAAACCAGCCTGGGCTACAAAGTGAGCTTAAGACCAGCCTGAACTGCGTAGCAAGACCCTGTCTCAAAAACGCCAAAAAAAAAATCAGGGGCCAGGGATACAGCTCAGCAGCACAAGCACCTGCCTGCCAAGTGCAAGGTCCTGAGTTTGATTCCCAGTATCTCCCCGGCAAAAAAAAAGAATCAGAATGACAAATGAATTCTCAACAGCCTCAGTGGAAGTTGGAAGTCACTGGGGCAATGCTGCCGATAATTTTGAGTCTAGACATCTGTACTCACATAAAGCTTCGAGACTGTACAGATAGCACTAAGCCATGCGGAGGCACTCAATGAATCAAAGCAATCTGTAGAGCATTCACCTTTCACAGGCAGCTCCTGGACGAGGTGCATCAGCAAAATGAGGGGATAAACCAAGAGGAAGACAAGAGAAGTCAGGAACGCTGGCTTCTACGTGAGAGGTAAAGAGCAGCTCACCCAGATTATGGAACAGACAGAGCGCTCCAGGAGCAATGCCCTTAAACTGCAACAGGGGCCGGGCCCAGCTCAGCGGCACAGCGCCTGCCTGGGAAGAGCCAGGTCGGCAGTTCAATTTCCAGTACCAAAAACTCCAACAGAACGTCAGGTTATATGATATACCCGAACCTATGAAGAGTTTACACTTCCAGAGGACACTTTACGTATAAATTGTCTGCTATACAGAACACTGAACAAATGAAATAAGCAATTATATATTCATTTCAAAATTTCGTCTCCAAAAGACAAAAAAAATTTAAATAAAAATTGGACAAAATAGTTACAGATGCCACATAGTCCAGTTGTGACTAGCACTTACATGGCAGAAAAAGTATAAATACTGACTGCTAAGTGAACTAGAGAGTGTGACACAACTATTATCTTCAGAGGGTAAAAGAGTAAGTATGAGTTTAGGGGAGTTAGGGGAGCTAGAGCTTAACCTTCACATTCCAGGCAGATCAACAGATAAAAAGCTGCAATGCCACTGAATAGCTCAGCGATCATGTCAATCTGTACCAATGTATATGTTTAGAGTTTGTAGTCCCAAGTGAGTAGTTCTAAGCCGTATACTTACCAAGAGATGCTCACAATGAGGACTGCAATAGGTGCAAGGAAAATAAAAGGCACCTAGACTTTGTTCATATCCAGAACGCAAGAGACAAACAGAGATGAAACAGATTGTTTCATTGGGAACTGCAGGGGGAGGGAAATGGAGATGAGAAATACTTGAACTCAAAGAGTTCTATGTTCCTTACATTTTATAGTATTCTCTATCAGAATCAGACTATTACAGCTGCAAGATAATCTTGCATTTGGCTGACAATTTGCTTCACTTTACAGTTACCTGTCCAAGGTCACACAGATGGTTAGAGCAGTCAGAACCATCTGCTCTAACGCTCACATCTTTTCACTGTATCCCAAAGCATCCTAAAATAATTATCAAATACCAAAAAAAAATCTGAGTTCCTACTGGTACACTCATTGGAACTTTTAAAATAAAGATGAAATTTTGTTATATTTACGTTTTAGGAACTATACAATCAAGGAGAGGGCTCTAAAGTCAAACGCTCTTTTCCTACTTTTTATGATAGGCCAAAACTGAGGATGTCAAATATTTGGCTCCAAGTGCAGGTACATCCTTGCTTTACCCACTTCAAATGTCACTGAAAAGCACACATTTTACTGCAATCTGTATTAGGGTTCAGATGACACAGGCCTTTACTCGGGTAACTAATCATGCAGGCTCTAGCATTTTACTGAAAATAGGTTTTGGCAGAAAGATTTATAAGGGAAGGATATATTGCCTCACTGCTTAAGGAACTGGTGGTGTTTAACAAAAAGATATGAGGGCTTGGGTGATTTCTCACTGATAAGGTTTTAAGATAAACCTGAATAGGCAGAAATATCCAAAAGTGGGTCAAGGTCTACTGCTTGTAACAACTGCTCACCAAGGCGGAGGACATTAGCTGCCACCCAAGAAGTTCCTAGTCAGGATTGTTTTACATTAAATGGAAAATTCAGTTGCCACTTTTTCAACTTAATTACTAATTTATTTTTTCGGTTCCGGAAATCGAACTCAGGACCTTGCCCTTGCCAGGCAGGCGCTTGTGCCACTGAGCTATATCCCTGGCCCTTAATTACTAATTATTGCCTAAACATTTTCCTAACAAAGGGAGGGAACCAGGCATAAAAGAAGCTGCATTTATACTTTTACATAGAGAATTCAGGCTATTCCCTGCTACCATCTATACTATAATGTCTCTGGGTTTAAGATTTGAACAGGACCGAAGGCCACCCAGGCTGCTGCTGAGGGTGATGACTTAAATGGCACCATCAGATCACTGTGTGGTGTTCCCCACGGCTTGGCGACTTCTAAAACAAACTTCTTCCTATTCTCTAGTCAATCGTTTTCAGACAGCTCTGAAATCTTCAACATTAAAAATAAAACGATAAGAGAAGAAACTGATCTTTAAAAAGGTAGGAATCTAAGTAGCCACTAATTTGTCCAGCTTGTTCTATCTCACACACACCTACTGCAGTCAAATATCCTCCAAACCGTTCTGCACACTGGGTACACCGAGCTTCATGAAGACGCTAACTTTAAATGCCTATGGCGCTCGGGCCCTCTTCTACTCTTGAATGTTTAAGCACACAGATACCATCTACTTTAATAATTAGTAAGCAGCAATAAATTTATTCTGTACTATTTGATTAACTTCCAAGTTGGAACAGAAATTTCCATTGAAAAACCCTTTAAAATTAACTATAATTTTTTTTTTTCTTTTTTGTCTTTTTGAGACAGTCTCCCTACACAGTTCGGCAGGCCTTGGATTCACTTTGTAGCCCAGGCTGGTCTGAACCTGCAGTGACCTCCTACCTCAGCTTCCTGGGTGCTGGGATTACAGGCGTTTACCACCATGCCCAGCTAAAATTAACTACAATTAAACCATCTCATAAAATACATTCCCGGCAAATTGTGTATAAAGAAAATGTTTATAGGTTAGTAGAGCATCGCTTCTAAATAAAATATATTTGTTACCAAATATAAAAACAGCTCCAATTTAGAAAAATTTAGAAAAATTTACAATTTAGAAAAATTTACAATTTAGAAAAATTTAGGTGAAGAGATCCTGCTTAAATTTATTTTGGTATCAAACAACTACTTAGTAATGAGAATCTGTAATTGTGGCAAGATGCTAATTTGTTTATAAAATCTATATAAAATTAGATTAGTTATAACATCAACTTATCAAAGGTTCTTGAAATTAATTTTGTTCCTGGAAAAGTATCAAAAGTCTTCAGATCTGGAATGATATTCTTTTATTATTTTTGATTCGCGCAAATATAGCACATCAGAGCTTCAAGCAACAACACCCAACGAAACCCTGCATGATAAAATATCCTCTTCTTCCTGATAGTTTGGAATGTAAATGAAAATGTGTTCCTTCTTATGGAAGAGAAACATGAACATTGTGTCCAATAGGATCAAACACCTGCTAGAAAGGGTTGTCTGCTGCAATTAAACATGAGCAATCAGCTCTACATTGTAAAGAACTGCCTTAAATTGAGTCCTCTTTTTCTTTATAAAAAGTTTTTCTCAGCCATTTCGGATCCCTTAAGCCTTATAATGGAAACTGTTATCCAGTTTTAACTAGGAAATCCACATCCACAAAAGGCATCTTCAAAACAGTACATTTTAAAAGTACATATACGCAAAATTAAATTTCTTAACAAATCTAGGAGCAATAATTTAATATTGTATTGCAAAATATAAGCAGCCTTAAGAGAAGCATGCTTGGTCAATCTTTCTTAAAGCTTTTGGGGCCAAAACAAAGAAAAAATACCATAACTCATTCTTTAAGATATTAATTTGCAGACACAGCCAAATATTCATCTAAAAAGAATATCCAGGCTATCCAATTACATTTGCCATGAGTTCAAACGCACATCTATAATATAAAAGTTTTCTTAAAAAGGTATTTTAGGCCCAAGATGACTTTACTTAATAATAGTTACATGAGAAACACCACACAAGACCCAAATAAACTTCAGATACAAATATTTATGATGTGGCTTTGTTTGAACACACCTAAAATTCAAATTCAATTTAAATAACTAGGCTGGCTTTTTTATATCACCAGCTTTCATTAGGGCCTTAATTGCTCTAGCCCTCATCTCCAGTTCTAGCAGCTCCAGCTGCTGTGCGGAGGGCTGAACATCTTCCGGTGGAGGGACAGTCAGGGGGGCTGCTTTGGGTTCCTTTGGGCTAGATTCTGCCAGTCCCAGAATTTCGTTCACACTTTTTTCAATGTCTTTCTCCAGGTCATCTATCTGACCAGCGGCACTCGGGGCCGCACTTTCCGGGGCCTCCGGAGCAGCCACTTCTTCGTTGCACGGGCCTTCTATGTCGCTGTCATACGCATCTGCATTTATACTGAGTACGTCACTATCTTCCCCTTTGCCTGCAGCAAAAAAAGGAGGGGGGAAACCATATCACCTAAGCAACGAGTTTCAAAATTTCCTTCCTATTCATAATCCAAGGGCTGCTTCGACTCCACCTCCCACCCTCCCAGGTGCACTGCACGCACCCCATTCTGCCCCCTCTTCCCCGCCTCCTCGACCTTCCAAACAGGCTGAATTTTTATGTAAATCTTAACGTATTTTTCATTCTAACTTAGGAGTCCACAGAACTCTATTCCATCATAAAGAGTCCTCATGATCTGTCTTGTAAAATGTCATGTTTTGTATCACAGCGAAGATTCTGCATTATAAAACGAAAGGTGATGTTGGAAACCTTTTGGACAGAGAATTTATTATTAAATATGTAAAAATTCACTCTAGAAGGCATTTAAAATATTTCGCTTTATAAAGCACAAAAAAGGAAAAACATCATCAGCAAGCTAGACACCATATGCATTACAATTACCCCCAATCTTTTCATATTCTTTTTCAAACATTTGGTTCTAAATCAATAAATTAAAAGAGAATGCCTACAGCCATTTTCTAGGATAAAATAAGTCTTCATAAAGAGGATTTTAATTAATAAAGTTAGTATACCATAATTTTTAAAAATGCATTTGTTGTAAAACTTCTGAAACTGTATTAAAAATGTAAATAAAAATGCAGATTATGACTCTCGAACACCTTCACCTTAGCAGTGGATATCATTCAACTTCCAGGCATCATTTACAACTCTGAATATTTACTTTTCTCTAATTTACCTTTTCTGTCTCTGGCATTTTAAAATTTCTATTAGCGCATGTTTGCAGTACATAATAATTACACTTAGAGAGGGGAGCTGGTGAGCGCACACAACACACTTAATTCTGCTCTCACCCCAGCCCTCCCCTCCCCTCCGCCCCTTCCATCTCCTGGGCCCCTTCCTAGCTGCAAAGGTGCTATCTCCAGTTTTGGTTCTGCTTTAAGGAGTGATTCCCCAGGTGTTGTCCTTCATAGCTTTCCTGTAAGAAGGGAAAGCTTATTTACAAAATACAGACTGACAGATGGAAAATTCTGGTAACGAAACGCTTAGCAAGAACACAAATAATTTTACTTCACTGGTTTTATAAAAGAGAATTTACTGACCTTGATTGATCCTCTTGTATCCTTATAAGTTAAAAACATTCTTTATCCCAGAATTAAAGTGTTAAATGAATCAATAAATTATTTTTGTGACCACAGAGAGAACATGTTTAAAAAAATCGTTACAATTTTAATTACTTGATGTCAAAGAACATTTTATAAATCTCCCCAAAGCAACATTTCCAAACAGCAAAAACAATTACAGAAAAATGAATATAACCTCTGCATTAAGAAATATTTTATATTAGTATTCTAACTTCAGACAAAAATTTAAGAAAAGCAGTACTGAGTTTTTTAAAATCTGTTTTTTGTTGACTGGATGGCTGATTGGCTTTTTTCTGACAGATCTCCCTGTCTCAGCCTCCCCAGTGCTACGATTACAGCTCTCCATGCCCTACTCAAACAGTTAACTTCAGGGCAGAGCAGGCTTTAACCTAACATTCCAAATCTGTACTCACTAATTCTGAAAGAAAATCTAAAGGTTATTTAAAAGATTTTTTTAACATACATTTTGAAAAATATTTTTTATGAGATTACAAGTTGTTGCCAAACAGAGAACAAAAGTAGACAAATACCATGGGTGACCAGGCAGAGGGGGAAAATATGAATGCTGGGAACCTGAGTCCTGACCCTTACCATGCCATACATAAAGTTTATGATTTTGGCAAATTCCTGATCTCAGCTTCTCTCTTAAAAAAAAAAACCCTAAGAGTAGCTTTAAAGTTCAAGTTCTAATACAGTAACAATAAGTTAAGTTTACATAACAACATAAGCTGACAATAAGTCTTTGTTCCCCTCTAAGATATGGTTACCACTGATCTTTTGCTTAATGTATATATCACCTGGATAATAATGCCAAAAGAATCCCCTATTTTTAGCAGCAGCCACAAAACAAATTATAAATCAACAAATCATGTTCTACTACATATTTTTAACCAAACAACCTGCTTGGCAACAAAGGTCTTAGAGAAAAGCAATCGAGTTACAAAATTTTTATGTTTCTAACTATAGTTTGACCTTGTTTCTTTTTTTACATTAAAAATAGTACATCTATTCTATCGCTAAAGAAATGGTGTTCTGTAAAGCTGGTGTTCTCTGCTTACATTCAAAATTATCCAAAACCCAAATGACTGACTTCCCTGTAGCTCAACACTGGTGAATGCATTCACTGGTTCTACCTGACCTAATAACCGTACCACAGATGCCACAGCTTTGTAGAATTATATCTGAAATGGTTCAGCGTAAGAGCCCTATCTCACAAACTGTGACTTGTGTAAGACACAACAAATTAGTTGAAGATTTAAAAATCATACTTCAAGCCTTTTCAATTTCTTAATTTTCATCATCCTAATAGAATAAGAGTCAGTAACTAAGTTTTTAAAAGCATCATTTGTAAGCATATGAATACATTTAAAAGATAATTTACTCTCATTATTGATATTAGGAACTGTGGAATTTTTTTTCTATCAATTATGATCCTCAAATTGGAAAAGGTAAAGCTTACACATAATTTTAACAAAATGAGTTTACCCCAGATGCCTCATTTAATGATACCCTTAAAATCTGAGTAAGGTTATATTCTGTTCTGAATGCCCACTGTGTGTGTATGTGTGATTTTAGTGATTTCTTTTTCTTCAGGGAGAATTGAGTGCCCATTTAAGAATTCCACAAACAGAAGCGCCTTCAATTTTCACCCAGGCTTAAGTATCTGAGTAAAAAGTCAATCTAAAGGGTAAGTTATGTCTATTTCTTTAAATGAAATCTCAGCAGTAGTAAGAAATTAAATGAGTAATATGAAATGTATGTTAATAGAGCCTAAGGATTAGTTTTCACAAAGTTAAGTTCAAAAAACTATTTCCCTAGTAATCTTATAACACGATTTATACTAAAAAAATAAAAAATCAATTTGTGAACTAAATGTTTGGGGTTTACAAAGACACTAGCACATGGCCTGCTTAACTTTTTCAAGGTTTAATAAGTATCTAAAGGAAAAAAGAAAATAAAAAATTTTGATGTATTCACGATGTGAACTAACATTACTGAAATCCAGTAAGAAAAATAAAAGACAAGTGGGTCTGAGTTAAAATATTTCAAATGTAATTAAAACTAATACCAATGAAAATTCAAGCTATTAATAACAAAAGACACAATAAAAGCAGCACAGAGAAAAGAGAGCAAGAAAAAAAATTAGACCTAAGTTATTTACGTCATAGAAAAGCACAATAGCCAAAGTAATGAAACAAGAAACAAGAAGCTATGATATACTCCTTACATTAATTCTCACCCTCCATAGGATACGCGACCTCTGAAGTATTATATACCATTTAAGGCACTGCAGAGAAAAGCAATTCAAATAAAGAAATGGAGCAAATAACTTGGGAAAAGGACTAAAGGACTTTAAGGGCTTGGCTAGACAACAGTGCTTAGAAGACAAAGAAGGAGAGTCTGACCAACTGCTCACCAAAATACATTCTATTATGTTGTCTTCGGATCTGTATACTTCCACCATTTTTCTCTCTTATTCTTGCTGTCTTTCACCCCATCAACTTGATTTGTATCCCAAACTGCATACTCAAGTACTAAAGAGTTTTTAAACAAGCCAATCCACTTAGATTCAGTATCGAGACAACAAAATGAATTAGTCGCTTCTCAAAGACAAATAAGCCAGGTGTGGTGGCGCATCGCTGTAATCCAAGCACTCATACAGAGTTCAAGACCAGCCTGAATTATATAGTGAGACCCTGTCTCAGAAAAACATACATTTATCAGAATATTGATTTATATTATTCAATGAGCCACAGTGATGAGTACAGGATGAAACATATAAGCAAAGTATTTGGTGACTACACAGAACACATTTTTTTCTGAGACAGGGTCTCGCTATGTTGTTAGTTCAAGCTGGCCTTGAACTCACTACATGGCCCAAGCTGGCCTCAAATTCACACCAATCCTCCTGCCTCAGCCTCCCAAGTGCTGGGGTTACAGGCATGCGCCACCATGCCCAGTCACATTTCTTAAACATCTGACTGACAGGGAGAAAAACTACATAACACCCAATCACTTTAAATGTCATATACTTCTGATATAAATAAAGGGGTGTAAAATGAAATAGCTACATTTTACTATCATCTATAACAAATAATGCTTGGAAACTACAGCGATTCCCAAAACTAGATAAAGAAAAATATTGTACCTCATTGGTTTTTTTCTTTTTGAGACAGAATCTCACTATGTAGATCAAGGCTGACCTCAAGCTCACAGCAATCCTCCTACCTCGGCCTCTTAAGTGCTGGGATTACAGGCATGCACCTACACGCCCTGCTATTGATTTTGCTTGAAAGTTCTTGTTTTGCTTTGCTTTGTCTTTTTGAGACAGGGTCTTGCTATGCAGTTCAGGTTGGCCTTCAACTCACTAGGTAGCCTGGGCTGGCCTTGAACTTGTAGCAATCCTCCTGCCTCAGCTTTCCAAGTGCTGGGATTACAGGCATGCACCACCACTTAAAAGTTTCGAACAGAATACCCAGTGAAAGCAAACAAACATAAGAACTATTAATTACAACACAAATATTTTGAGTTATAAAAATTAAAAGGACTTTGAAGCTTATGCAAGCATGTTTAAACCTTAAAAGGGTGTATAATATTCTAGCTGCAAATAATTCACTCATCAAAAGTAGGTCTTATCCAGCCAGGTATGATAGCATATGGCTGTAACCCCACCTACTCCAGGGGCTGACACCGAAGGATTAACAGATTCAAGGCTAGCCTGGGCACTTTAGTCCCTGTCTCAAAAAAGGGCTCGAAATGTAACCTTGCACAGCATGCATAAGCCCCTGGGCACCAGAAAGCAGACAGACAGAGAGACAGACAGACACAGATAGAG